CTATAGAATGATAGGTTTCTTTTTTGTGAGTGTAAAACATTTAAATCTACCATTTCGATAAAAGAGTTATTCGTTGTGAAGTTAATACATTCCACACTTCTTAATCTTATTTCTCTGATCTTAGAAACAGCTGTTTTGAAGAGTAATGACACTATCCCAGTAATTTTAAGAATCATTAAACTGAAGCTGACTTCATGTCATTAAAAATTTAACGTATGCATAACACTAAAATAATTGCTATATTTTTCGTACTAAACTCATGTTGTTATATTATTATGTTTATCTATATTAGCTAAACGGTACTTAGGTAAACTGTGTTTAACATGTGCATTGAATCACAACTAAGCATGTTTTGGTGTAAATTAATCAATTTTGTCATTTAACTAAAAAATACTAGCAATGTATGTCACATATAACTAATTACGTATACAAAAGTTTATACATCACACCATTCTGATGATTTGTACTAAGAATTCAATATTTCTACATATTACTTATTGATTTCTTACTAGATAAATATACATTATACGTATATTCAAGTTGTCCCAGCCAATTTCTGTTGTAAGTTCTTTCATTTTGTCACGATGAAGGAAACAAGATATTTTATTTCAAGTATTAAGTCTTTTGAATTTTTTTCATTACAGTATAAGATATGTTTTCTTGATCAGAAGATAGGATAACACGCATTCTTATAATGGAGTTATTAAAATGTTTTCAGATAGTCAGTTCGATATGCTACGAATCATAATTTCAATGTTTTTACGAGGTTAGAAAATGGATTCAAGGTTTTTATAAAATATGTTTCAATTCAACAAGCTTCAAAATTACGATAAAGTTTGAGGTGGCATACACGTTATTGCTTCGACTTTTAATTTTTCAAGAAGGTACTTTATATATATATATATTCTTAATTTTTTGATAATTCAACATGTGTGCTCAATGTAAAAACAACAATAAAAAGTTGTGTTAAAAACAACACAGCTTACGTTCTGTGGAATAAAAGTTTAGTGGCTAATGCACAAACTTTGTGTTGCATTTTATACAATCTTCATACCCATAGTAAAAATGGGTCTTCACAATACAACTGTGTATTTACATAAACAAAATTTTAAATTGAAAATCCAACTTCATTTATGTTGTTAGAAAACACAAAACCTGTGTGGTTATATCTCTACAACATTCAATTGTGTGATAGCTCACATGAATGTGGATTGTTATGAAATAACACGTTTGTATTTATTTATAAAACAACGTTTTTTATTGTTTTGTTTTTTATTGTGTAGCTCCGTCTTTGCACATCAGTAATCACATATTCGAATGGACAAAGTATAGATTTCTATAAACACTTATTACAGGACAAGTGATGTGTGTGTGTGTGTAAACTAACGTTTTTTTTGTTTTTTACTTATTCTTTACTCCCATTCAACCATCTTGATTTCATATAAAAGTCTTTTGCTTTCTATTTAGATATAACACAACGTTGCCTATGTCAACGCAATACAAGGGAGTTGGACTTATTAAACTTTTGAAGTTCACTTTATTTTTAATTATTTATTTTTAACTATCTGGTGTATAGAAAAAAAAGGAAATATTTGCACAACACATCTGTAGGTTAAGTGGGAGTTAACGCCTCTATCGTTAGAAAATGTTATGACATCACGTGACATTGTTAGTCTCCTCCTACGTCTTCATTTACTGATCACTGGAAGTTTAGTAGAAGACTCTTCAGTTCTTTGTATATTATCAGGGAAACAGAACAGATCGATTATTTAATCCGAAAACAAAATTATCAAAACCGAATAAAATATCAACTTATCGCCGAATCAGTCGATTTCTGAAAACTTTAATTGGACCTCTAGTTTCTGATCTACCGGTAAGTATTATAAGAATTACTAAGTTATTTGTCTTAACTGCAGTTCATAGTGGTGGGAATCCGCCAAGCAATCCGGACCTCCTCCCTATTTTCGTGGGAATGTTATTTTGGTGATCATATTACCTCATGACGATGGACGGAATGTATATATATATTATCTGTTACGAGAAACAACATCGTTCTTTTAAACGAATTTATGTTTCTTACATCCAGTAAGTTTAGCTACTTACGTTTCTAAATGTAGATGTTAATATTAATTGTACTATTACAAAGTATTAGGAATATTATACTAGAGATTTGGAAATATTTTCTGTGATATGGTTAATAAATACTATTTTTAGAAAAACGTGTATTCGTTGTTTAGATGATAACGAGACTAGAGTAAATTAGTAAATTATTTTAATCAGATATGTTGTTTGTTTCAGTTGCAGCATAATTTAATCTGCATTGGACAGATGTGTTTTTTTATTCATTGTGTAATTCAATTTTCTTCAACGAAGTTCTATGAACTTACAAATTTTATAATGAGCTTTTATCATCACATACTATCATAAGAATGCGGTAAATTAATTATTAATAGAGATGTATTAAGTGAATATCTAACACCTTTTTTTTTCAGATTTTTGCTTTTTTGTGAACATGCTTGGACGGTTGATTTCTGTTCTGATTTGCTTGCATTATGGTTATTTCGTTCAACTGACTGAAGGTTTGATGGATTCACTCGATGATTCAGGATCACATTTCTCACCGTTTCACCCTGAATTATTTTACGACACTAATGTTCTTCCGCAAAATGTGGAGATGACTGTCTTCGTTTTTAAGGATGAAGTAAAACGGTGAGAACATGCTATTCAGAAAGTAAAGTGTTTAAAACCAGAAATTATAAGAAAAAAAGAAGCAGATACATTAAGATTAAACATTAAATATTACTTGAGGTTCTGACTAGAAAATATATTTATCTAATTTCCTACCATCCTGTAGTAAATGTAAAATGTAGTTATTAGTGCCTCTGTTTTTAACAATTTCTTTTAAAGTTTACTATTAAACAGTCAGTGAAATTAATATCTTCATAAATGATATTAAGAAATATGTTAACATCTTCGGATCATCTGTTTATTTTCATTTTTGGAACCTGAGAATTGTTTACATTAATAATACATTTCTGAGAAATATTTAAGACGTATAAGCTTTTATGAGGTTACAAATAGCGACAATGCATTTTAAATAAGAATTACTTACATTAATTATAATTTAGATGCGATATCTTTACTTGGTTATTTGTAATAAATACATAATCATGCATTAATTGGCACCTTTATTTAGATTCTCGATTCATGCGTCTTAGAACGCTGTATTTATTTCCGTGTGCAACATCAACCGATTTTGTGGTATATTAGATGATCCCTAAAGATGATAAAATGTATAGCGGTATGTCTGCGGACGTATAACGTAAGAAACCGTTTGTGCTTAACTACAAACGAAGAAACATTACTGCATTTTTATTCTGATAGACAAAATATCTTCCAAAATGCTAAAGCAACAATCCACCACATTATTATAGTCCAAAAATGGTTCTAAAAGAATGATAGTGACTCCAATTATCTTAGGTGGTTATCATAGTCATAATACCTTAACCCAATTAAATATCTTTGAGATGAAATTCAATCTCACGTTCACCAGCTATTCATTTCATTCTTCTGTCGATATCTGTGAGGCAGTTGCAGATCATACTCCTCAAAGAATGCTCACGATCGAATAAACATCTTTTGAAATTTATACCGTGCAAGACTTAGGTTATTATCGTAACGAAAGATAATTCAACCAGAAATTAGATAGCAATCCCGATAAAATTACTAGTCATTATACTAAACTAATAACGTCAGGAACAAAATGTATGCATGAAGTAAATAAACTAAAATATTTTGCAAAATATGACTTGGAATTTAATCAATATTTTCATGTAATACAACAGAATAATTTTAGAACATCATTCGTTCAAGCATACATGGAACAACAGTAAACCCCAAATCCTGCAGGATGAATGTAGCTTGTCGTTCACATACTAATTCCAATTAAAATCGACCTGTCTGTTAAATAAAGAAAGGATCAAGGTTTATATTTTTTTATATAAGTATTCTTTCATGAAACAACATTCTTTATTTCAGTTTATATACCTGAATATCTATAAATATACCAGTATTTATGTACTTTTAGTCTACACAACTTCGAGTTATAAGAAATCAGCATTAGTTTAGGAACCTGGAAATTTCCTGACTTTTCGGTTTATATACCTACCAATACAAGCTTATCGAGCTCACGTGTAATAAATTAGGTTTTAATATTATTCAGTATTAGGGCTACTTTATAACTGTTAAAGGTCTAATTCCTAACATTCTCAGTTTTCGAAATTTTATTTATGTACTGTATATAAAGCCTGTAAGCCAAAAGAAAGCCAACGACATAGAGCGAGACATTCTTGGTAATAAAACCTGTTAGCAAGATAAGAACATTGCGAAAGTGATGTGATAGAACTTGACAAGTCAGCGCTAATCATCTTCTTACACAGCATTGGTTTGATACACTCATTACAAACGGTTACGTTACGATATAAAACGTGAAATATCCTGCTAAAATATGTGCATTTATTGTAAAAACAAAGTCTCGGTTTTGTCACTAATGTCATGGCGATGCAGTGGTTGGAAATTGATCTGCGCCTGATGAAAGGTTCTAAAATTAGAATCACTACACGAGTATAAAAACAGATTGCAAATATCTGGAATTATTGCTTAGCTATAGCCATATATATTTCGTTTATATGAAATTTCAAAAGTGGCATTTGCTTCATTAGAAGTTGTTGTCAGTTTATATCGGTAATTGTTTTTTTTATGGCCCAATAATGGTTCTCTACATCACTTTAGTACCTCCGATATAATTTTCTCTACGTCTCTTTTTATTTTTATTTTTAACTGCCTTACTTCCAACAAAGGCGTAAGTTTACAAGAAAAAATACCAGAATCTAAAGGTATTTTATAATCCATGGTTAACCTTCTTTATGTCTTTATAATGTGAATGTTTTAAATGTTTTGTGGATGTGGGTGTAATTTCGATTTATAGCTATAGGTGCCACTGCAGTGACGCACTATTAGACTCTGTTTATGCTTTTGTGCGACTCTGAAAACGTTCACACTAATACATTCGAATGTACATGTACATAGTTATTTATTTACTTCCCTATTTAGTATTTTCCTTTCAACTGGGTCCACACTATTACAAAAAATTACCTAAACTTAAACATGCCACAACTTTAGACAGAATTGTGTGTTATACATAGTTATCATACTACATGTAGCTTGAGATATAATAGAATTTGTTCCACATTACAAGACTTCTTGGATAGAGCTTTTCAACTCACTCTCATTTTTCACAATTAAACAAAAATCAGTCCAATTTTGTGGCAAATTCAACAACATTCTTACCACTGATTATGAGTTTAGATGTTTGACAGAATATCAAGAAACTGTTTGAAACTGGCTATTTATTAACCTAGGTAAATCGTATTCAATGATAAAATGTTAATATATCAAATTCATTGAAAAATATTAGATTAGGAACAAATTTTAAATGAATTAACTTTCAAAAATAAACATATATAAACTGTAAAATTAAAGGAGTTATTAAAGAATTTTGTTTGAATACTAGTTTTAACGATAACGTTCTAAAAGTTTGATACACTGGTTTTTACCAATATGAAGTTTAGAGAAATGTTTGTGTTAGGAATATTAAGCAGGTTCAAAATAAATGTATAAACTTTGTTCTAAGGATTAGTATACGTGTATGTAAAGACCCACTGAGAGGGGAATGTGATGGCCTAAGTTTGAAAATGACAAATGTGTTGAGAATAATGAAATACTGGATCAATTCGTCAAATTGGAAAGAGAAAAAAAAATTATAAAACGGTTTTATATAAAAGAGACAGTTGAGCTGAAAGAAATAAATGCGAAAAGTTATGTAAAAAAAAGGATAAGATGGTTTACATTAATATATTTGTGATGACCCTTAGGAAAACTATATGCTGTAAATAGTACGAGGATTTTACAAATAATCAGTAATGGTTAAAACACTTGTGAGGAACTAAAACAGGAAAAAATATATTTTACTGAAGTTATATAGAAAATGTGAAGTATGTATTATCTGAGATAATTTATTAGAAGATGAAATAGGAAGAAATTATGGTGTAAGTATAGAAGACTGAATATCTCAATTATGTAAAGAAAAAATAGATTTCTTTCCTTTTTAGGTTATTTGTTTCAAAATCTAGCTTGATCAAATTTACCTCATAATTTATTAGTAAAATGAATAAATATCGTAAATTTACTGCACCAACGGACATAGAACATGAGTTATTGGCAGCTTATTTATGAAAATATTTATTATTTGTATTGCAAAAAAAGCCTAAGACAAGTCTGCCATTAGAATTATTTTGTATTATTCTAGAAATCCTGTATTTAAAGAAGTGCTGTTGCAATAAAGATACTGATTTGATGTTTTGCGAGTCTGCGCTAGTTTATCTATCTATGCGGTTGATGCTGAATTTGTATAGTGAAGACGTCCTATGGTACACTTTAGTGTAAGAATTACTGATGTTGCGGAAAACTACAAGGCTCATGGTACTCTTAATATCAGGATTTCGTAGCCAGCTGCACTCCATAAGCCGCTCGTCATGGCCATGCATGGGAGGCATCGGCTTTCTTGGTGTTCTTAGCTTCGAAAATGGAGTAAAGAGCAAATGAAAACTCTCATACCAAACGATAAAATCTATAGAAATAATTCTAGGAAATGCTGCATTATTTGCACATAGAATTCTATAGTGAAGGATCATATTTCTCTTGGCATGAAAATTATATATATCGTGCCCCCCCCCCCCCAGTGGTTTAGGAGAAAATACCTCAGATTTCACTTGCCCAGCTCAGAGCCACAACCGAAATCCAAATGATCTGCTCTGGAACATTCTAGTATCTTTCCCGAGGAACGGGAAGAACTGATCTCATTACACTGAGTGGCAATCTATTCTACCAGATGTGTACCAACTGTTGTTCTCAGGTGTTTGTAACAGAGTTATGGGTGACATAAACGCTAAATGTAGCCCATTTCCTGTCAAAATGAAAAGTTAATATGTAACAAGCATTTAATACGAAACTTTATGTAGCACTTTAAACAGTATTTGTGATTTTAATACTGACCTTTGAGCTCTTCGTGTAAAATTCGTTTATCTCATCTGTGTGAAAAACAATGCATAGCACGTAATATTACACCTACATGCGTTTACTTTCAGTGCTTAAATAGATTATACAAAAGCTGAACATAAGTTACCTTGCACTGCAGAGGGATGCTATCAATTAACAGTTATGAAAAATGAGAAATTTAGTTGTGAAAACGTAATATATGACTAAAAATTAAATAACAGTTGTGTTAGAATGTGAAGCCACTTAGAAACATGATAATTATGTCTTACACGTTATCCACATGCAAACTGTTATGTAGAATCAGTGAAGATTATCTAATATGTGTGGGTGTTTTGAGTGCCAGAATATGTATACTAGGGTGAATAAGCACGTTAACGGTAAATGTTTAGTTAACTACTTCTATGTAAGAATAGGCTCTTTGAACAATTATTTATTTATGTTGAAAATATATATAATCTTCTACCCAGCGTTACCGAGAAGTAATTGCGTAAAATACTATGTCAAATTTCAATTTTTGTGTAAGCACTGGAAATATCGGGGAAAAAAAAACAACAACAACAATTTTCTTTTTTGCAGTGAAACTTGAATCACGCATTTTAAGAGTGAGGCTGGGAAATAACTGTCGTTTTCCGAGCAATAATTTATATGTGTATTTGTTTGGTGTTTTTTTTTTATTATTCAAACCGGCATTCTAACTTTTAAGGCACAACTCTGACAACATTAATTTCTTTTCTTTTTTTTGACAGAACTACGTTGAAAAATAAACAGAGATATATTTTAACAGTATCTTATCAATTTGGTCATGTTATGTTTTTCATTCTCCTTTGGCAACAGTCCATAAGTATTCAGTTAGTTTCCAGAAAATGCATTAAATGTTCACACAATGTAATATCAGTTGTAGGTATTTTCTATAGCTTTTATTGAGATAAAGTGAAAAGTATAGGTTCAGAAGACTATAGCAACCTAATAAAAAGCTTTTTAACATTTCATGTGTAAAACATGCCCGTAAACATTTCTTTACATAACTGGTGCATCTCAATAAAAAAATGTATAGAAAAAGTTGTGTTTAAACCATTATGTATAGTGGAACTAGTATGACCATTTAAGTAGCTAACAAATATTTAAATTGGGTAACATAATTATATTTGGGAGAAATAGTATAATATTTAACCAAAACACACAAAATAATTAGATTATGTCAAACTTAAACTATTGATCTAGTCCTGGTGTTTGAATCTTAATAAAGTAAGTAATGTTAAGAGCTCATGAGTGAAAACAAATGATAATACCTTATAGCATGTCAACTACACTACATTACTGATGTCTGGGATACTTTACTAGTATTTTAGTCTTGATGGATGAGATATTAAATTGATTTTTATACTAACATGCAGACTTGAGTTATTAATATACATAGCTCAATTCATGACCACAGACATTAAAATTACATTACTTGCTCAAGTCATGAGCTTCTCAGTGGCACAGCGCAAAATCTGCGGACTTATGACGCTAGAAACCCGGTTTCGATACACTTTGTAGGCACAGCCCAGATAGCCTATTATGTAGCTTTATGTCATGATATAAAACAGTAAAAGAACTTCGGGTCTACTTGTCAAGTAGAAATTACGTTACTTGGTGGTTGTGTTGTTTTAAGTCTTGAACTGAGCTATAGTAATGTAGTATTGAGATAAGTTAGGGACGTGGTCTTGACTTAAAGCCACAGGCACAATACTGAGAAAGGTATTGTTAATTTGAGGCATTATGGGATGTATTCTAAAACGATTCCTTACAGTTTCAAGCGTTTACGGGTATTAGTCCGTTACATAGGAAAGCGTCAAGAGCTGTAAAAAGGAGGGTTTAATTTTTAATTGTTTAATCACTTCAGTAAGGACGTATTTATGATGTCCAAAGTATTATCTTGAACATATGATGCAGTTTTGATGTCTAAGCTTTTCATCTTGGGCTAAAGATTTATTATTGATTTTCGAAGTCTTGGCTTGAGTATTCGTGAAATCTATAAAATCTTGAGTTACTGATGTAGACTTTATGTCTGAGGCTTTGATTTAAGCTATTAATGTAGTCTTGTGTAATAGATATTGAATAGAACATATAATATAGTCCTGAATATAAGGCTTGACATCTAATAGTGATGTATAGTCTTGATATACAAAACCTTGAAATAAGCTAGTGATGTGGTCTTGAATCTAAAATATTGACTTGAATTAGTAATATAATCATCAGGGTTTATTTGTTTTGTTATTAGAGCAAAGCCACATTGAGCTATCTACTGTGTCCACCGTAGGAAATCGAACTCTGGGTTTCAGTGTTGTAAGTCCGTAGACTTATTCCTGTACCACCGAGGGACTAATCCTTAAACAAGCCTCATTCACCTACTACTAACTGATCTGGACATCTATTGGGAAATGTTGACAACAATAAAAGCCTTGGCATATTCATCATATGTTTGTTATATTGATATTTTTATATATTTTTTAAAAATCATATCTTTTATTGTTTACAGATTGTACATACTCATCGACCGTGATTTCAGCCCTCTACATTTGTCAATATCCCCCTGTTCAGCTGCCATAACTTGGAACTTATATTTACGGCAACCATTTATTCCTATTAGGACAGGAAAAAATGGTAAGTGTCAGCTTTACGGAATCGTGTCTTGAATACAAAAAAAGAGAATGCAAGTGTCGAACCATTTTTTGTTTCTATTTATTTACTTTAATTACATATCAAATGCTTATATATATAAAACTTTGGTAATTTATTTTGAAAACCTCGTTAGGAAGATACCAAAAACGGTAGTCGTCTGTAAAGATAACAACTCAAGTTTGAAAGTATAAAAGTTGAATTTGAAAACTTGTAATAAAAAGACATCTGAAGTATTACATAGTATTCAAAGCAGTGCCAAGAATATTATTTTTGTTGCTAGTAGAGATAGTGGAAAAACGGGTTTCCTTTTCTTATTTGGTATAAAGAGGCGTAAAGTGTGAGTGCAGAACTATTCATTGAACGAAATCAAATATTTGATATTTGCTTACCGGAAAACTATTTAATTTCAAAATGTTCTTGATGGTCAGGTTAATTCTTCATGAATTATCTAAATAACTCCAGTTATACATGTACGTGACAAAAAAAGAAACACCCATTACGCACCTGAGAAAAGTGGAGCTTATTAACATACGTTGAATTTTTTGTGTGGCTGATTTTTTTTATTCATTGAAAGTCTTTAAAAAATTATAAAGGAACGTTACATTTATGAGTGCATTTTACTGTGTTTCGTTACATAATAGAATTTGATGCGATATAATTGACGAACACTACAATTTTACACGAAACTTTTTAAGATGCCGTATGACAACTGAAAGCACTAATATCACCACAAAAACTACTAGTAAAAATTATGGCTGTCAATTTAGTTATTTCTTAAAATACATTTTACAAAGTTACTCTATATAGTGTTTGTTTGTTATGGATTTCGCGCAAAGCTATCTGCGCTAGCCGTCCCTAATTTAGCAGCTAGTCACCACCATCCACCGCCAACTCGTGGGCTACTCTTTTACCAACGAATAGTGGGATTGACCGTCAGATTACATCACCCTCACGGCTGAAAGGGCGAGCATATTTGGTGGGACTGGGATTCGAACCCACGACCCACAGATTGCGAGTCGAGCGCCCTAACCACCTGGCCATGCCGGGCCCATCTATATGATGAAGGAAAACTTTGGAAGGAATGTGATTTCGTTAAATTATATTGACGTTATATTATTTAAATCACTATTCTGGCTCAGCTTTATTGTTTCAACTGAATAAGAGCTAGAAGTTTACAACTTATTTATATTACATATACTATATTTTCTGAAGCATGCCACTTTATTAATGCTTTTTTACTATAAAATTCGCAAATTCAACCTTATTCTTTCACAATCAACAGAATGCGTATTAAAAATAGCCCATTATGTTTGACATTACGCTGAACGCTTAGCTTAAGTAAAAGTTAAACGGATGTGACGTTTTGTGCTGCTTTCTCCTATTTCTACCTATTTCAAGTGAATAAATGCCACGTTCCTTTCACACGGTGTGAATACTCGATACATGAAGTACCTCGTCTTTTTTCACAAGTATACTGAGAGTAACATTTTATATGTGAAAAAGTGGGCGGTTTATGAAGCTGAATTTATTTCCTAATGATCTTAGACACATAAAAATTATGTATACGTGTATAATTTTCTTATTCTAGTACTTTTGAAAATTATTAGATATACATATGCTCTGAACTGATCACTTTCAGTATTTTGAAAGTGCAAACCACATATTTTAACTTAAACTATGTGCTTTTAAATTGTGAAAGTTGCACTCTTACAGAAGCTACTTTCACCGAATAATGCAAAATTTTCTAGAACGCTCAAGTAAAACTGGTTACAAAAGTTCATTTCTTTTGCATATGACTTGATATGGTTCCATAAAACCCTTCTGTATGTTCATGTTTTTCTGTATGGTAGCGTAAACACATATTGGTTCATTTAAATCAGTGTATGCTTGGCCTCATAATATAGATTTTGTACACATTATATTAAACGATTTTGGAGCCTCACCACGTCGCCACATTAGGTTATGCTCTATCTTATTGCCATGAATTTTTACATTAGCTATGCAGCTAAAATTCAATTACAAAAGGTATCGTCGCAAAGCTGTCATGTCTTAATCACACCCCTTCTCCAACTGCTTTCCATAATATATCTAGTGTAGGAGGATAACGGTTTCTCAGTGCCCATTTCAGCAGTCTGACCTCAGAGAAATCCATAGGCGTTGCATCCAGCCATTTGAACGGTATGGGTATGTCTTCGTATGGACTGGCATGAATATCCATTTCATTCTCCAATTGCTTGAGGTACACAACCGTTAAACAAATATATTGTGGACGCAATTTTTGTCACTTGTGTAAACGGAAACCCTTATTGATTATGTTACTTACTGTACCCTGAGACACGTGAACAACTTTTGCCACTTTGTGTTCGTGATCTCTCACCTGCTACAAGATGCCGCTCTGTGCACGTATTTTTCCTGATGGTTCTGGTGTACCAGATTGATCAGTATTGCTTTGTTTTCCAATGCCATTAAGTACAAATAAATTCTAAATCCCCGACCTCAACATTTCTTTCTGATTTGAGTTTATAAACATTTTACATCGAAAAGGACTGTTACATACCATTCCCAAAAGCGATAAATTTTCGGTGGCATCACAATACCTAAGCAATGCCAAACAATGTCAAAATATAGTTCTGATACGTTCTGTCCCACTGCCACTTTATATCAGCTGTGGTTGTCACGTGCTTTGTTGATTTGCATATTCAAAATTGTTTTAATATAACGTACTCAGGCCTCTGAGCATATGAGGATTCTTGTCTGAAAATTATAGATTATACCTATTTACCTATTGTGAGAAGTATATTTTTACCTATCTAACTTTGGGCTGTGTTGAGAAAGCGTTAATTTATGGCTCTTGATATCGATATACGCAATTTTAAACGTATACCATTCGTAGTTTATTTCTATGATAAAAAATACTGTATATAATGTTTTATGTATCAGTAGGTTCTATTAATTTTTCCAAAATGCTTTTGATGAACCAATAAACAAGTACTGGTATTAATCTTTGCAGTACTATGACGGTATGGTAGTAAATTTTTTGATAACTGAAACAATCGTGACATGCATGATCTTTTGTATAATGACGTTTGAAGAGAAGAGGCTGTGAAGAGAAGAAAGAAAACCTTTGTTTATAGCGTATAGTTACCAGTGAGTATGGAAGTTAGCTGTTACACGACAAATATATTGTCAGATGGTCAAAATGTAAAAGCATCAAATTTTCAAAGATCTTCTTTACGCCAGAAATTATGGTTGCTCCATAATGTGTTCGAATATTTTCCTGCTATTCCTTTTGTTGTTTTTTTTGCGATAAGTGAAGAATTGTTTTCAACTGTGACATGAAATATCTTAGATAATACCCCGGATAAAGCAGTGAAAAACAAAAGTATCTCTCACATTTATTGTTGCTGGATCCCTCTGATTTCAGCTAAGGGCTGATGTTTGTATTAGAAGCTTTTCGAACTAATTAGACTGAAATGTTGTAATTCATACTGTTGAGACCATTTAAAGAGACTTGCTTATATTCCTCATATGGTCACCTATTTAATATATTTGTTAAGATTTTTTCTTTTAACATAGTAAGTTTTAGTTTCTAGCACTGATGATTAGCTAGAATTCCATTCTTTATCACTTATTATCATTCGTGGATTACAGGTCATTTCAAAACAAAAAAGGATTTTTGTCAAATTGGACTCTATTTGCCACGTGACTTAATTGTGCAATGCTTTTTGTTGTTTGTTTTGTATTCTAAGACTCACATTTTGCACAGTTATGGTCTAAGCAAGTCTTAGATGGCATTTAAGTAGGGAGGAATTTCAATGAGATCTCGGTATACAATTATCTGAAATGTCTCAATGCCGTAATAAAACCGTTTTAAGTGTGAGCCAAAATGTTACCTCCAACGCATAGAATCCACGGCAATGTAAGTAGATGGTGCGGAGGCGGAAAAAGCATGACACGACTGATTCATGACCATATAGGTTCTAGATAATACAGAAGCTATGTTGTGACTTTTGAAATGCATCTGGAATTTTTGCATTAATATAAATTATTCATAACATACTTAAGGAGGTTCGTTTGCGGTTATAGAAAGCCTATATCATGATCTCATTGACAATTTTATTACTATAGTAATGCTAACTTTACAATATTGAATCGCCATGATTTGCATCGACATCAGCTTCGATGGCAAGACTGATCTTCATGTGTCCTGGGACGGCTTTTTGACAGCTGTGCAGTTCAAAGATTAGGTCCTAGACATGAAGTTGTCCATTGGCGCCATTGGGGAAACCCCCCAGTGGCGCAGCTGTATGTCAGCGGACTTACAACGCTACAAACCGGGTTTCGATACTCCTGGTGGGCAGAGCACAGATAGCCCATTGTGTAGCTTTGTGCTTAGCTACAAACAAACAAGCTATTGGTGACACCTCCATTATAAATGGCAACTTCACTCATACTTTGTTCGAGTCGCAGTGGAATTCCTTTAGAGTGAGAACACCGCTGGTAGAAAACGGCTTATTCCAAAGTGTGAACTCAACAATCTTATCTGTATCGCTCTCCAGTATGCTGTTTCGGCCCGTCCTGTTCAGCTCTTGAAACTCTACGAGTTGGGAGATGGCTCTATAGAGAAATAGGACCACCTGCCACAGACCAACGTTCAGAGGTTCATCAGGAGCCTGCGCAGAGACCATGCTATTCAGTAATTAGTGCTGTTGAAGGGTACAGAAAGTAACACACGAACAAATGATTTTTTTTTCATTATTCACAGTGATGGACGTCATTATAATTTTTCTATAAAATAGTAACAATCACAAAAGCAAATACAAAATGTAACAAACATCACTAACAAAGTAATACTTCTTGAACACTAAATTAAATAAGTACTAGCATAAAATACCCCTGCTGCACTGCTGGGTTCAAATATTTCATCGTGATTCATAGAAGCGTCAATGTACCGATCAAGCCTGTCATTATCTCTAATTACTTCTATAGTTACCCCAACGGGGGTACGTACCCGAACAAAACCCCCTGTCAGGACACCCACCAGTGGTACCTGAGTATATGTGCCAAGTTTGGTTTAGCTAGCTCGTGAGTAGAGTTATTAACAGAGGTCCAAACATGATGCCCTTGGGATCCCGAGGGGACGGGTGGCTAGGAACACATATTCCAATAATATATTCGGATTCAGTGACCCTGAAATCTACTCCTTGACCTCAACATGGTTTGGTGGTCTACTTGGCGCAATTTAGCTTCCCTTGGTAAAGGAGGTTATGCCATATAGACAATGTCACCGCCGAGTTAAGATTGGTCCTACTTGCTCCAAAACTGTGAGAGAAGATCACGGACAAACAAATTCGCACACAATGTGAGTTTATGTAGGATAAAAAAAAACCTGAAAAGTAATGAATTGCAGAGGAAAAACAATTTTTTTTAAACATTTGAAGGCGGATCAGTCCATTTATTTGCTTTTCCAAGGAAGTGAAACTTCATTGTTTAAAAATCTGTTAGCCCTCCAAGCTCGAATCAGTTAAGTGCTCTGTCAGTATACTTATTTTATTCTTCAACAGTCAACGACCAAGAAAACATACAGCGGCGAGGAAGTGAAATCCTATTCCCTGCACCGCCGCGTTAAGTCAAATATAGAAAACACATGTCTATCCGTTATACAAGTGTTGCTCTTTATCAACTTTGGGATCAGTCCGCTTAATCAGCCATTAAGGGAAACCCAACCTGCCATTACTTTGAGAGCATGAGATGGTCACAAACTGATTTAAACAAAGATAAAAAACAGACTTTCTTGCGACAGCAGCCAGCAAGTACAACTTTTTGCAAGACACGTTTATGCAATAGTTAAATTCACTGTATCATAATTTCTAACACCAAAACAATATAAATAACATCTCTTAAATTCCAATTACATATGTAAAGCATATCAAGTATCTCCAGATTAAGTTAACGTAGTGATAAGAGTTAAACAGAAAAAATTCAAATCAATTAAGAATTTAAACGGGAGTGAAATTTAGAGTAAATAAGATCGTTAACATGAAAGTTGTAGATACCTTAACAATGTTATTATCATCCATTCGTCCCTTGATACTAACATTACAAATTATGCTTGACGTTTTATTGAGAGGGGGGGTATGATCTTATTTTTGTCTTTTTGTTAGTTAATGTCATAAATTTTCAACCTTTCCCATAACAAGGGGCAGGTAGGAAAGAGTTTGGTATTGAGCTAATTTACATCCACTGGTTATTAATTACATATATGCAAATTTTTATATAACATATCATTATTATAAGTCAACAACTGAAAAATGAATCTTTCAAAAGCAAGTGATAATTTAGCATCCACACATTTTTGTGACTAGGGGTAAGTGATATGACACTGAGTAGCCACTCACTCATTTAATATAAATTTAATAGAAACATCCACCTGATATCATAAAGTTCTAATAATTCTTTAAAATGTTTCGTGTAAAATTGTACTGCTCGTCGATTACATCGCATCAAATTATGTTAAATGTAACGAAATACAGTAAAATCTACTCATAAGTGTGACTTTCCTTTATATAATTTTGTTAAGACACTCAGCGAATAAAAAACTTTAGTCACAAAAATACTCATCGTATGTTAACTAAGTTCCACTTTTCTCAGGTACGTAATGGGCGTTTTTCTTTTTGTCACGTATATGCATAGCTGGATTTAATTAAATAAAGTTCTAAGAATTATTTTTCTTCAACTTGCCTCTTTGTATGTTTTCTTCAAATTCATAGATTATTATTATTTCTGTTTCCATCTGTTTTTAACAAATTTTCAAGTGTAGATTCTAACATTATCTTTCATTTAGAAAAACCTAATTCCCCAGCTCTACAATACTTATTATGATATGTTTTACACAATATGAATTCTAACAGAGGTGGTTTGATTGATTAGACAGTGTATTATAATATTTTTTTTTCCTAAACAACTGCTTTTAATAATTATGATTTACGTTTCAGAGCATAAAAACAACAGACATAATGAAAGAATTGAAAACAGTTTTGTTTACCAGTTTCCAAAAATTAGTGGCGGAGGACAAAAGTCTGATACAGTGAAGTTTCTCACGAGATACGCTGGAGTGTACGTATTAACCCTTAAATCCCATGTGCGAGACACTTCGGTACGCGTGTACGTTTCCTCTAGTCAGAAATATTTCAGTGTGAGACTTCCCAAAAGACCTTCAGTAACAGTCACTCATGTTTCAACAAATAGTGTCACGTTGCATTGGACTCATAGTACTTACGAAAGCACAAAACACGGAAAGATTGAGTACTGCATAGCGGTAAACCCTCGACAAAATTATAAGACTCTTTGCTCTGTTCAAGCAGCAATGCACGGAGATATTCCGCCTCGACCACCTCGATGGACTGGGTTTGGCTTTCGATGGGAAAGAAACGCGAGAAAAAGTCTTTGGAGAAGAATTAAGGAGATTAGAGAAAGAATGGATATCAAATCAGATATACAATACACGTGTGTTGGAAGCAAAACATCTCATATAGTTCAAGGGCTCAAAGAAGGAAAAATTTACTTTTTCGATGTATTTGCTGTGGATCAACAAAGTAATGCTAGTGCCGCCTACCAAGGAACTAACGCCACCACGAGAGGCTCTAGCAGCAATGCAAATCAAATAGTAGAAAACACCTTAGTTTCTATCAAGATGAGCCCAATAACTGGATACACGGCAGTAGTTGTTTACACGATGAAGAATCATTCTAGTGCGTTGTACTATTTTCTTCGTTCGTGTTCGGGACCAGGACCAGTTGTTGTTAACGTCACCTCCACCAGAGGGCTAGACATTTTATCTACCAGTTTGATGGGCACGAAAACATTTTTTATACCTAAGGTCCAAGCAGGTATTTATGTTTTCAAACTAACCCCTGTATTTTTAGGATCACGGCAGGCTGAGATATACTTAGCAAACAATTACAGTATGTTTCCTTATCCATTGTTACCTAATGACACAGCAGTAGAGAACTTGAGAACGTTAACCACCAGCACTTCAGTCACACTGAAATGGTCCAAAGTTTTCCTTCAGCCCTTCATCAGTGAGGAGAAATTTCAAATTGAGTACTATATCTATCAAACTACCATCACCAAAGATAACAAAGAAAACATTAATATCGTCCCGAACTATTGTGTTGAAGACACCTGGGGATCAAAAAGATGGAGAAGGCGAGTGTTAATACTTCAACATCGTAATAACGAAAGTAATTTTTTCATACAGAAAATTGGTGGTCTTCAGCCTGATAGTGAATACCTTTTTCAAATAGAAGTGAAAAAAACCCCAGGAAGATCACTCAGCTACGAGCCAGTCTTTGTTGAAACCAATCCTGAAAAAATGCGTACTTAAAGTGTAGTATCAAGAAAAAAATGTTATAAACCTAAGAACCGATTTTTTCAAAGCGATTACCTATAATTGTATAAATCATGACTAAATATGTTAATATATACTGTTATAGCAAATTTATATCAGTATATAACAGGTTCGTGTTAAAGAAAAAAAAAGTTATTTAACGAGTTTAGATTACATGTTGAATTCAAGAAACAGGATTTCTTTATGTTTAGATTACCGACCTAAGAAAGTCGTTTTTGTGCAAACCTAACCCTTTAAGGCATTATTTTCGATGTTAAACAGTGTGATACCGTTTCTTTTATCTGATTAACTAACTGAATTAGGATAATAAGATAAAAATAAGAATTATCTAATATTTTTTCATAATGATTAATATTTGATTCAATGTCTGATATGGAAAACAAGCAGATTTGTTTACATATAGATTATTCAAATGTATAATGACAATTACTGAACAATGCAATATGACCTTTTCTAGAAGACACTCAAATAAAATATATTTTATATGCAAGAAGTTGAATAAAATATTTTACGGTGCCGTGTTTGTTATTCTTACTTTATAAAGGAATATGTGAATGTACGGTATATGATGTCATAATGTGCCACTTTAGTGTTGAAGGAAAAGACCATTCACTATTCCCAACCTGAACAGAAATAAGTAAGATGTTCCACTGGCTATAAGTTAGTGAAACGAAACGTAAACTGTGCTGATGGATAACACAGAATCAACCATCAACATATGAAAATTTTAAAGTAATTCATATAAATGGACATCTTTATGTGGTTATATAACGTTTGGATGTGACTATTTTTTTAAATTACCACTATTTCCATGTTTCAAACTAAACTATACTAAAAAATGTAGATGTTTTAATTGTGTTTATGACAGTTTTCAATAGAAAAAACACATTTCTCTTTATATGTATATATACATATACTCAACTACTTTAAAGGCCTGGCATGTCTTAGAGAGCGATCGACTCACAATCTGCGTGTCGTGAGATCGAAACCTTCGCTGAACATGCTCACTCTTTCAGCATTGGGATCGATATAATGTGACGGTCAATGCTACTATTCGTTGATAAAGAGTAGACAAAGAGTCAGCGGTGGGCGCTGCCAGCTGATTGATTCCCTTCCCCCTGGCCGAAAGCTCAATATTTTGAACGGCGGTAGATAGCTTTAATAGTTTTGTCATAAAACAAAACAAAGAAACATTCATGTACTTTAAATCACTTATTTAAAAACGACAAGATGTCTGGCCCGTGTTTTAACTTTGTTTTTTTTTGCTAAATACATTGCACATAATGTTGTTTCCTAAGTCTAGATAATTTCCCAAATAAAATCTTTAAATATGAGTCAACTTATGTGGAGAAAAATTAAGAACATACTATCTAACAGAATATGTAATATGTCCTACTTTCAACCGAATAACTGGATAGACTGTTACTCTTATAACGCACTCACAGCTGAAAGTGCTTAGTGTGTTCGGCGGCAGCGGCATTGAGGATGAAGCTTTGATCTTCTGATGCGAAGTTTGCAACGCTAATCATCAGGCTACGCTCGACCTTGGAGGAAGGACAATTAATCATAAACATTTTATTAAAAATAAATAATTTTATTTTCATCACAAAGCCAAAATTCTAAGGAAATTGAATAGACGTCAAAATAATTGTGGCTGTTAGTAAATTGGAAACAAGTAACGCTATGAACTAAATACACTTAAATTCGGGCGTGATGAAGAAAACAATGCATACTAACAAAGGGAACGTTTTTTTCGAAGTGTGTGTGTGTTTTTCTTCATTGTTTTTAATTTTAGCTGTTTCGACTGATTTTACTTTAAAATAGGACGCCTCCAAATACTTCAGAATAATGGCATAAAATATCCCTTTTTGTTTATGTTATTGTCATTACTTAATGAGACCAGGTGGGGCCTTGTGTTTGCGTACTCAGATTGTGAATCCGAAGATTAATGGTTCGTAGTCCGTTGTAGTAAAAAAGGCGATCCACACTTCGGGGCTGTGGGTACACTATAAGATTGATGGTAAAATCTTACTATTCTCTTAGACAAGAATAGCTTAAAAGAGTATGGAGGATGTCTGTTGAAACATTCGTATAGCTCTGCGCAAAATTCTCAAATTGAAACCATAATGATGTTTTTGTTTTGTTTTTTTAATTTTCGAGTACATAACTATTTTCGGTTTTGGATAGCGAAAACTCATAATATTTGACGCAGTTATTCCTATGATATGGTATACAACTACTGGGTTGAGTACGTGATATGAAAATAAGAAATTTAGGTGACAAATACAGTCAATATAAAAATACGGTAAAACGGTATGTATCAAAACTAAATTTGACATTACTTATTGATGTTGCGTAGGTAGTGTTATGCTAGCGAAAACTGGTCGCTTTTGGGAATGGTATGTAACAGCTCTTTCCGGCCCACAACATTCATGAACTCGGGTCATAAAGATGTGTTCAGATCAGGGATTTAGAATTTCTAAGATTGGGACATCCCTTGTTCTTAATGACGTTGTAAAATAAAGAAGTATGGGTCAATTTGGGGCATCAGGACCATACAAGAAAAAGCTTGCAACAATCCGTATCCCAACCGTAGTAAACGTAGTGCAGAGTTTTGTAACAGGTTAGAATCTACGAATACAAAGGTCAGTGGAAAAATTCGTCCATGTCTTCCACGGAACAGTGAGAAACGTAATAAAATAGACCTCCATCTGGAGAAAAGGCTAACAACAGAGTATGTGTTTCCCAAAATAAGGCTTCCAGTCATACCTCCCGTGCCACCGTTGCTTGGGAATGAAACGAATATTCATGCTATTCCATACAAAAACATATTAGTCAAATCCTTGGCTTTCTGTGCAATCAGATTGTTGAAACGGACTCTAGAAAACCATCATCCCCAAACACTAGATGTATTATTGAACCCATGCAGAAAGTAGTGGTAGTTTGGGTGCATAACAACCTATGCAGCAGAATCTTATATCTCTATATCTGATGTTTATTTCAGGTCTTAATAATGAATCTAAGATGTGTTCGTTTGCTGAGATCTAATGATACACACCAGCCCTTCAGGTCCACTCAATCTGCTAATACATACCTTTCAGCCCCAAAGAAGTTAAGAATGACGAATCTAGAAGGAATAATTTTTCACCGGAAACAACTCTGTTATATTTGAATATTTTTACCTTACTATGATGAATTACTATACTAACAGCATTGAGGGACAAAACAGTCTCTTATTGTTCGTTTTATATTCGATATTATATTTCTTATATCATTTGTAAACTTTCTGTAAATGTATTACACAATATGGTTGTTTTAATCTTTTGACCACCTAGAGTTGATATTCAACGATAATAGTCAACAAATAGCAATTCTGAAGTAATTCTATTTCAGAATATGCATTTCGCTTATTTCCATTGTGGTGCTTGCATTAATATGTTGTTGTTATTGATAATATTTTGGCTCAGAGCTACACAATGGCCTATCTGTGCTCTGTCACGCGCGAGGAATCGAACTCATGATTTTAGCGTTACATTAACAAATTAGTATATATACCCTCGACTTCCAGTAACAGTAGACACCAATTAGGTATGAATAAATTATTCGTTATAATATCTATACACTCTATAAAATGTATCGAAATATTCAGAATCTTCTTAGTCTTTGGGTGGTAGTGGAGATTTTGAAGGATTTATGCACCACCAAGACTCAGAACAAATTCTGCTAAATTTCGTCAGAAAAGCCTATTCCTACACGTGGCCAAGAAGAGAAGAGGCTCTGTAGTTTCTAAATAGAATTACTGAGTAACTGTAAAATTCAGATGAAAAGATAAACAGACTCAGCTAATAAAGGAGACAAAGAAACTAGTAGTTTAAACTGGCGCAGAGTTTGTGTGTCTGATAAATGTGGTAACTCATTGGCTGGGCAAAAAAAAAAAAAAAGAAGGAACAATTGTCTGCAAAGAGGTCTTGCAGAACTAGAAATAGGGGGAAAGAACTAGGCTTATTTTTGGCAATGTTTAGTTAACACGACAAGTTTCATGCCACAACTAAACTGTAATGACATCATGATGACGATTTGGAAGCACATTAAAAAAGTTTATTCAATACGAGATAGAAGAAACTATATGTGAAACGACTGATTATGGATTTAATTACAAACCTCTGTAATAAATGTAAATATTTATCTTAAAATGTGATAGAATATAACTAGTTTTCGATACAAAAATACGAAACCCTACAACCCGAGTGCTTCCGAAAGATGGACGTTTTTTCTTCAGGGGAAACTGGGAATGACCAAGGTTGATTAAAAGAAGAAAATATTAAGCAGATAGGATTAAGAACGTGGAATGTGAAAAGAATAAACATGGAAAATTATCATATATAAATAATAAGTATTAAGAAAGATAAGGGATAAAAATAGAGAATTCACACTATAAAAAAGAAAAAAACTTTATTTTTTGACAGAGAACTAACCAATGATCGGAAATCACTAATTCCGGGATCTAGATTTATTCTACAACAGTATTTAGATTAGCAATCCAATAAGCTTCTTTTATTTCTCTGTCAACTTTAGTTTTGAAATCGGTTTCGATGCCGATGAGAGTCACACCGTTACTAGAATGACCGTGTTAGTTAAATTGTTGGGCAACGGGGAGATCTTTTTGGGTGTTAATAGAATATTTATGGTTGTTGAAACGCTCTCTAACAATTGTTTGGGTCTGTCCTACATACTGGTGCTTCTATTTTTTTTTTCACTGTATGAGGTAATGCTAATTTGTGTTGTACAAGTAATTTCCTTACAAATTTTAAAGTGTTTTTGGTCATATTTGTAGGAAAAGAGTCGATGGATTTTATGGTCTTGCAGATTAGACAACGAACTTTATTACATGGATGACAACAATTCTTTGGTAGAGTGTAATTCACACAACGGAACTTCAAGAAAAATATGTCTAAAACGATCATTCAATTGTAGTAGACGAAAATTGTTTTTTTTTTTTTCAGAATGCGCGAAACGTTTCTGAGTTTAAAGTGATAGGTTTTTTCCAGTTGAATGTTGTCCACTTTTTAAGTCTATTTGCCAAATTCAGTATCTTTATATCCTCTTTGTAATATGGTTTGTTTCAGATCGTTGGTGTATTTTGTGTAATTTGTTTCATCTGAACAGATTGGGGAGCTTGACTGTAGGTAATATTCCGTTTAGCGCTAGTGGAGCGGCAGCTGTTATAGTGGATATACAGAAGGTCTGTCAGAAGGTTTTTCTGTACAAGCCATTGTGTAACATTCCATCATTTAAAATGACAGTGACGTCGAGAAAGTTAATTGTATTTTAAAATGACGGAATTTAATGTGCAATTTCAAAATGCATAAGTAATAACACTTGCAATGGTTTCAAACACTACCATAAAATTTATTTAATCGACTATGTACATTGTATTTGAATGTAACTTGGCGCTGTATTCATATTAGTAAACATAACTTTATGTGACTATGCTATGGTTATACTCTCGGATGGAA